GTTTCAAACCGGTGATTAATATTCGTTGTAAAAGTTAGTGACGGGTGAAGGAGTGTTAACGATGGACTAGAAAGGGTAGGGGAAGAGTTCGTGGGTGGTTGGGTGGGGGTGGGTGGGGGGGGGGGGAGGGGGGGAGAGAGGAGGGGGGGGGGGGGGGGGAGAGTAAGGAGGAGGAGGGTAATCCCATAATATTTGACCTTCACAGGAGCTTGCAATGCGGGATGTCGCGGGTTCGATCCTCGCGGCCGGACCAAGAAGTCTTAAAAAAAAATGAGTACTGCCTTTACCCTGCAAACGTGGGCTAGACCTTCGCGTGGCTCGGCGGATGACCACGTAAAATGGCGGTCCTGTCTTTAATAGAAGACGTAAAAATGGTGTCCTCAATTAGTACTTTCATGCTAAGTAAATTGACACTAAAAAATGTGTTTGTTACAAAACAATTTTATTTTGAAATCGCAAGTCAAACTTATAGGATTTTTCAGTTATTACAAAAATGATTTCCTATTAACTAACCGTCACATGATATACAGTTATGGTTATGTCAAGCTTTATTGGGCAGTAGCATCAGTAGCACAGTTCTTCTAAGAGGTTGTAATAATTCGCCCCTCTTACTCGTTTTTAGAAAGCATTTTCAATTTACATTGGCAGATTTTGACGTCCATTTCCGTTGAAGTTTCTCGCAAAATCGCGCGCGCAAGAAAGTGAAAAACAATTGCGCTACCATCAATTCATCCCGTGGTTTGTGCTCTTATCGACCAAACTGAAGCTCTCGACCAATCAGCGCGCGAGTAATCGCTCAGTTATCGTAAAAATAAAACTCGAAACTCGACCATCGAATACGCTACTACTATAGTCATATGTGTGATACACTGACTTGCTTTAATAATTCATAAACGTACGTAGCTAAGTAAATGCCTTTTGCCTTCCCTTACTTGAAAAACTTGGAAAATGAAAATGAATGTAAAAACGAAAAGAGAGAACCTAGCAACCAAAGGCAAAAATAGGGTTCCTTAGTAGCCCGCTGACCAGCCATATTTCCGTGGATCGGATTTGCCCGTCAGAGTACCATCCTCATTTCTAGCAACAGCTTGAACTACAGCAAAGCCACTTCCGTTCCTAAGCTCGTGCCCAAGATCACGCAGGCCTTGTTGAATGGCAAGGGGCATCTGAAAGTCTTTATCGATGCGAATGTACATTGGTAACAGCTGATGGTGAAGCCTGGGTTCAACTACAGCCTGTGGTAAGGTTCGGTTAAACCACAAGTAATTCATCATGACCTAGAAGAGAAGTAAACAACAACAACAGGAGACTTCGACCTTTCTGAAAAGTTCAGTACCCCTTTGTGTTCTCTGTAGAAGATGGGAAGCCGCGCCTTTATTCTTATTGGGGACTGTTTGTTGATAGTATAGTGTCGAGAAGGGAGGGGCAAAGGGTACATTTTTGACCCCTGAATTTTAAATTAAATTCAAATTAATTTTTGAATTTTGTGATGGATAGACCAGGTGTTAAATGCTTCTGTTGTGGCCTGAATCTGCTATATTCCTGTCGATCACTGGAGTGTAAATTTTGCCTTCCCAACTTTTTAATTTTAGTATGCGCACTCTGTTCAAATGGGTTTCCTCAAAGAAATTTATATTGAAAGTCGCTGCCTATCATAGGTTACCGTATCGAGTTTTCAGTCAACTTGAAAAGGATTTTCGTTAAATAGATCCTTCAGCTGAACTGAGCTAGTCGTCATAACGTGGAACAAAATCGCCATGCTGGAGAGCAAGAGACACACTAGGACAAGAAAAACGAGAGGTCACATAATTCAAAATGGTTATTTTCTTTGTTTGTTTTCTTGTCCCAGTGCATTTCTTGCTCTGCAGCATGGCGGTTTTGTACCACGTAATTAACTAGCTGTAAGGGGCCTATCATGTTGTTAAATTAGATGACTCTTTTAGAAAGGTAGATGAGAGTACATTTTTCGTCAGGGAGTTATGTTTAGAATTTCGTTCCCGGGTGAAATAAACCTAAGATGGATAAATTAACTTCTGTGGATGGAGGGATGCAGGAACGACTTTCTACAGGAATTATTAGTTTTTGGTGGAGGGGAGGGGAGGGTTAAAAGGGTACGAATTTAATAATTTCAATTGACAGGGTACAAATATTAAGCACAAGGCCCTTCTCTTCAAGCACACCAAGGCGCGACATAAAAATGGTCACATCGCGCGTGGGGAAAAAGGACAGTCTTTTTTCTTAGGCTTGCGTCTTCACAGCTTAACGCTGTACTCGCGCGCAGCTCACCTAACCTGCAATCAGGCGGTCTTTCCTCCCTTTTTATTTTGGAGTCCTTTCCCCGTCCGCCGACTTTCGCGCTATCCCCGAAAAAAGAACGCCTCTTCGCAGGTTACCGTAAGAAACTTGTAAGAAAGGGAAACTAGAGGCGTGGGGATCCGGCAATTTTTAAATTGATCTCACCTCTAATTCATCGTACGTGAAACATGAATCAGTTCGTTTGTAAGGTCATTAAGGTGGTCGATGCTCGGGATAATGAAACAAATTTCATGGTTTTAAGGTGTTTGACTTTTCATCTTATCGGTCACCACTGTCTGTTTCTGGATAGCAGTTGGAATAGTCGGAGGCTTATGGGATATTAAGGACCTTAAGATACATCCACTGTTAAGATACGTGTCTCTGCCAACAGGTACAAGTAGCGGATCATGTTTGCGATGTGTTTTTATATTAAAGGGCGCATAATGTATGAAATGAATAGTATTTAGCCATAGCCTAGTCGTTTCTCCTCAACAAAGGGGTAGTCTACCCGTACTTACGGCCAGTGAAACCAGTGTATCTTAAGGTTCTAATATCAGACAAGAAGGATTTGAGTTTGAAAAGACTTCGCTACATGTCCTTCAGCTACACCGTAGTTTTTAGGGAGTTATTATAACTCCAAAAATGGAGTAAAAATTTTAGGTACAGGATAACTCCTTTTTTGGGGTTAGTTTAACTCCTAATTTAACTCCGAATTTGCGGTTATTTTTACTCCTGAAAAAGAGTTCTTTTTACTCCCAGTCTGGAGTTAAAATTACTCCGAAATGGGGTTACTTGTACTCCTTACATGGGTTGTTTTTACTCTTTTTGGAGTTAATTTAACTCTGAAAGTGGAGTAAAAATTTTAGGTACAGGATAACTCCTTTTTTGGGGTTATTTTAACTCCTCAATATCTGGGGTCACTTTTACTCCTGAAAAAGAGTTCTTTAAACTCCTTTTTGGAGTTAAAATAACTCCACGAAAAATAACTCCACTGTAAGGAGTTAAATTAGCCCCACTAGAGGAGCTATTATAACTCCCTGAAAATTACAGTGTACATCTTCGTTGTTACCAATAATACAAATACGAACCATCTGACTAGTAGAATGCTTCTTTGACTCGGTTTTGCCAACAGAACACAAAGGGTCCCTTTACAGATGATTGGTTTTGCTTAGAAGTTATGATGTATTGAACTCAGCTCTCCTTACCAGAGAAATCGCGGTAGTGATTTTGGTCCCTCCAGACGCTCCGATAACTAAACGGGCATGGCCGTTCTTATCCAAAAATATTGACGGAGCAGTGGAAGACATGGGCCGTTTGCCAGGCTCTATCATATTAGATTCAGATGGTTCCACACCGTAGCTATTTTTTGTACCAGGAGTTGAAAAGTCATCCATTTCGTTGTTGTAGATTATTCCGGTACGAGTAGAACGATATTTTGCACCAAAACTGAAAAGAGAAGGCAGAAATCATCGTAACCTGAAAAAACAGACGACACTTCGCGACGCCACCACTTAGTTGTTCCCCCATGACATGACGTTTGGAGAAACGAGCGCAAAAATTCCATACTGATGGTGACGAGCACAACTTAGATCTAAGGAGTGCTTCTGTTTGGTTGAAGCTAATTCCCGACGCAGCATGACCAATCAAAAGCACTACCCAGATCCGGGTAGTGACACGTCACCAGTATTAAATTTTTGCGCTCTTTTCTCAGACGTCATTTCGCGGGGAAACCAGTGGTGGTGTTGCCAAATGTCGGCTGAACTTTCTAAGGCTAAAATCATCGTTGTTACGCGCGCCTCGTTGACAACTGCAATCCATTCTTGTCTTAATTAGTGTGGACTTCTCTTAAGGCTTTGTCTGTCTCCTCTCCTCTGTAGAGGCCTGTGTGTCGTAGGGAGGCTGAGGAAAAAGAAAAAAAGAAAGCGCGCTGGGAACAATCCCATCGTCTCCCGCGCCCATGCTATTTTTCAGTTATTGCTATTTTTTATTGGGGTACCCAGTGGGAGCTTCCGTGGAGGAGAGAGAAAGTCTTTGTGAATAACTTTTTTTTAATCTATCCAAAACTCTCGTAAGCTAATATTGCTCATATTTTTTAAACCTTCCAATCCCAGAGTCGGTGAATGAAGGAATCTCGCCGAAGGTGTTTCTAACTTTTGTGGAAAAAATCCTCTTTCACAGTACTATGGAACAATTTTTTTCTCAGCATCTTTTCAAAATAAAATTGGAAAATTCTATTTTATGGCATTTCTAATAAATATTATTTGTTAATATACGAATCTAGTAAAGAAGAAATAATGATACTTACAAAAGGTTTATCGTCGTGGTCGCAGAAACAGCGTCACCATTTTCCGCGATCACGGACAGATGTGAAGTTCCTTCCTGGCTGGCGTCATGATAAAAGTCTCCGTAGTAGGAGTAATTTATAAATGTCCTATTATCCCAAATCTTCTGGCGTATAGATTCGGCAAAATCTTCGTTAGTCATGTTCTTGATAATCTAAAAAATGGCATGAGTTAATGTATGAATCAACCCCTTTTAATAGGCCATTTCCGAGTTCCAAAAACTCTCACTTTCAACACGAGGCTAAGTGCAAAACTTTTGTTGTGAAAATTAGTTTTATTTGCATGAGAATAAAAAACAATTTTCATAACAACGGCACCGCATTTCGGCTTGTGGCAACTTGGAAATGGCCTATTAAACGATAGTAACAAAATACAGTCATATATTTTTTGACCACCCTATAGAAAGATCATTACCCTGCGAGCAGAGGTCTCTCTCTTGCATGGCTTTAAGCGTTTACGAAGTTGTTCGCATGCGGCTTGTCTGTCCCGACAAGCCACGCGAACGACTTCGTCAACGTGAAAAGCCCTGCAAGAGAGAAACCTCTGCTCGCAGGGTAAAAGATCATCGTTTAGCTAGAAACGGGTCCTTAATACTATCCTCAATAACTCAGTCTGGGACGTCAACTACGGTAAAAATACGCTTATACGGCACCCCCTCCCTCCAAGTTATAGCCCATCTACTTGTATAACAAGAAGAAAGTAAAATTCGAAGTTGTATAGGACTAGTGCTTTAAGAGGACGTTACGGTATATTTATTTTCTAGGAACTAAAAAACCCCTGGTCCCACAGCCCGTAACCTATCGGCATACGCTAGTGTGGTTATCTCCTTCTCGGCTCTTACGCCGCTCGCGTGGGATCTCGCGAAGCAAGACCGCCGGCAGCCGTCAGTGGTGTTGCTTCGGATTTTGTTTGTCCTTCTTAGAAGAGAAAGTTCGATTTACCTCGGTCACGTTTGCGAAGTCCTGGTCTCCAAGTAAGGCTCTGTAAGCGTAAGCAAATTTAAATGCTTCGACAATCCTATGGTATGTCCGTACTGAATTTTGAGTTCCCTGTCGATCAGAAGGCTTCATGTTGAATCCTAGAAACAAAAATAGGACTTCTCTCTTTAGATGGATGGTCTTAAGCGCGCAATTCCCACTTAACACGGGAAAGTTGTACGCATTTCTGAGGTTAGGATTGGTTGCGTTTCTCGCTAGCATTTTCTTCTTGATTCAACACTATTGCCTATAGCCTTCGAGGTAGGTGGTCAAAAGTAGAAGGGGAAGAAGAGATTCAGTGGCGCGCGGGCAATTCTAGTTTGGCACCAGCCCGACTAGTTCTGCCTTCCCAGCCCACCACACCAGCTGGCCATTATTTTGTGAACGCAATAAACAAATATTTGCAACACTCGTCGTACGTTTATGAAAAGGAGTGTTAGGTATGTCACAAATATTGCGCGTTTAGGGATCGGTCATTATTTATCGCCTGGGAGGAGAGGGGAGCGGAGGATTTGGGGCTAAACTAGGTGGAACTTAGCCGATCCCCCCTTTGACCTTTGAATGTTACTTCACTGATGCGATCCCCCCAATAACTTTTGATGACGTTCGCGATCCTCCCCACAAGTCTTCATTTTCCAAGCAAATTTGAGTGGTCTCCCCTCTGAATCCTTCCAACGTTTTCAGCGATCCCCCCTTTTGGGTTCTCAGTTACGACTGATCGCCCCTTTTGTTATCCTAAAAATCGAGTGTTCCCCCCTAAAATCCTCCACCCCCCCTTCCCCCAGGCGATAAATAATGACTGGTCCCTCACCTTTCAATATATTGAGGATAAAGCTTAGAACGACTCCACTCCCCGGGGGAGGAGTAGAATACCATGAGTAGTTGCCCAAACTTCCATTCATCGGTTGACGGAATTTGACTCTGTAATTCTTCAGATCATCAAGGGTGATAATACCACCCTTCTCTTGTATATCTTTTACAACATCTTTCGCTAGCTCCCCAGAATAGAAACCCTCAGGATCGTCGCGTATTCGCTCTAACGTTTTAGCAAACTTGTGCATATACAGCGTTTCGCCTAGCTGTTTCAGTTTACCGTCCTCGTTGAAAAGAAGGTTTCTGTAAAAACAAAACAAAACAAAAACAGAGAGAGAGAGAGAGAGAGAGAGATCAACAATGACAGAACTAAAATCCAGTTCTGATCTGCACCGTAGGGTTATGGGTGCCCCTGTGGCCCGAATTGTTCAAAAGGTGCATAGAGTGGACAGTGTGCTATCCACTGGATCAAGAAAACATAAAATACTTATACTAGGCTTTTATGTTCTCTTGACTGGATAAAACTCTATATTTGAGTGAATAACGCAATATGTTTACCCAGCTTATCCACTGGATAGTGATTTATCCGGTGGATAACGATATCCAACTAGTAACTTTTGAAAGGCTGGGGCCTAAAGGTTTGATTAACAGCTTCTGTCCTTTCTAAGAATTCGATTTGGTCAGCCGGCCGTTTACTGAAAAGTTGATGCCTCGCACTAAAATACTGTATACTGTGGCAGAAAAGGAAATGTTTATTGGCAATGGGTAATTAAGGATCTAAACGCTAAAAATGAAAGTGAAATATATGAAATTTCACACACTCAGTTTCAAATACGAAAGAAAAATATTACTGATGATACACGAATGAGACGTACGCTCCGAATGTAATCACGATATGGTGTCTCATTGATTAAAAAATGTCAGAAAGCTTATACTGGCTTTTTCACAAACCTAAGTCCAGGATCAGCCTTGATGTACTTAAACACGCTGGATCTTTTCGCAGCGTATTCTGCAGAATAGCCGAAGGGAAACCCGTTTCTTGCCATATCGATGGAAGGCTGGACCAGATCCTTCCAGGGTAGTTTGCCATACTTTTTCCAAGCTTCGTAAAATCCTTTCACTTCACCAGGTACCCCAGCTGCGGTTGCTCCTGTAAGAGGGGCAGAAAAGTAGTCAATATGGCAAGTTCATTCATCTATTTCCAATAGAATCTGTTTACGCTGACATATCATCTATCTTTGGCTTGCTACGCGCGTACGAAACATCTTCAGTTGCACTTCTACTTACTAAGAAACTTTCAATTCGTCTGATTTGAACCCACGTTCCGCAGGTAACTAGTCGGGTGTGATAACCACTACGGCCATCACCACGTTGGCAACACTCCAATCGATAAGGTGATCTAGGTGGTTTAGATGTGGGCCTTCCCGGAAATTTTCTTCCTAAGGTGATAACGTAGTGAGTGGGATTTGAACCCACGTTCCCCCGGTAACTTGTAACTGTGTAACGAATCGTGATTTGAACTCTGTTGAAACGTCTTAATTATATTATTGACAATATTCAAGCCCTCTCCACTTAGTGACTTTGTCTCCTTCTCAGCCCATGCTACTGTTCGAATTGTTAGTTAAAACACCACGACGCATTTCCTGAACTGCGTGGCCGGGGCTGGATCTCTGTTTTAGGGGAACCCTGATGGGCATGAAAGGGCGCGATGGCGCGATGGGCGCGCGGGAAGAAAATAATCCACCGGCAAATAAGCCTTTTCCTCTTCCTCTTAATTTCCATGATCCACCGTCTCCCACTCACCATATCCCAAGCTTATGCGTTAAAGAGATGAAAAGAAAAGTAGCGGCTAGGTTGAAGTGAATTTTCGTAAAGTTTATCCCCACTTCTCGGCCCTGCCCTCGTTCTAGGAAACCTTAAGCAAAAAGCCAGGTCTGGGTAAGGTAAAAGCCTTTCCGGAAAGAAAATCCATGGCAGTACTTACCATATTTAGAGTTCATCTTCCCTCCCACATACATGGTCCTGTTGGCTTTTCCAGGGGCTTCTTCGCGAAAATCGATCACCTCCACAACATTTGTTTCATTATGATAGACTGTCATGAAGCCTCCACCACCAACACCAGCGGAGTGCATGTTGTAAACCCCGATGCAAAACAGCGCTGCAACGGCCGAATCCATCGCGGAACCATTTGTCGTTAAGATATCCCGGCCTATCTCCGAGCAAGGACCAGCATCCGAGGCCACTACGGCGCGCTTATAAGGGCCCTCCGACCCCGGGGGCCCGGTTGGTGGAAGCTCGATGGTTTTGGCAGTTGGCGCAGTTGAGGAAGTTTTGTCTTTTCTGGTAACAACAACTACAACAGCTATGATAATTGCTAAAAGGATTAAAAGCACCACAACAGCTATGATGATCAAGCGTTTATTTGACCTGCCAAGGAAAGGTAAACAAAGCATTTTAAAATTAATTTTATACTTTTACAATGATATTTAACAGTATCCCTGCAGATTCCCTCTCGTTCAAATAAAGGCTAAAAGGCCTTTTTATGAGAAGTGGCAGCTGGCTGGCTAGAATTTCAGGAATTTCAAAAAAAAATTAATGGCTTCTATTATTTAACGGCTTCAACGCTTTGCAAAACCAAAAATAACTAGAGGATGACCAATAGTAGATAATATGGGCGTTGAATAAAAATTGCAAAGCAAATCGCTTCTAAACGGACCAATGGTCTCCCCAAAAAACTAAACATAAAAGAAACTGCAAAGGCCCGCGAAGGAAATGCTACAGATTTACGAAAAGAGCCTCATCATTTTCTCACTTCTATAAGTGTTCTTTTTTTTATTATTGGACAAGCATCGGTATATGACGATTTGTATGACACTTTCTTCTATCAATTAGCTTGCAAAGTAGACGCTTGAAAGTAGTGGGGGCAAGAAAGAACGGGCGCGCGAGACTTGTCGCGTGTCTCCCTCGCGCGCACCTGTTCTCTATCTATGCACTGCCTATTTTCATTGTGTGCTACGCGGGCTACTATCAATTATCTGCACTCTCTGCATATCCGTTGACCTCTCTCCTCCGCAGAGGATCCCGTTGGGTATTCCAATAAAAATGTACCTCCCCGCAGACGTCCCGTGGGGTTCGTTCGTCACGCATTCATTTATGATCGAAAAAAAAAATTAAAAATAGCAATAATCATAAAAATCATAAAATTTAACAATAGCAATAATCAAAATATAGAAAGTGCGCGGGGAACGCGCTTTCTTTTTCTTTCTCCACAGCCTCCCTACAACACGAAGAGGCCTCTGGGGACTGAGGAGTGAGTCGGTTGACTATGGTTCAATTTTATATTTGGTTTAGCTTTTTTTTTGTTTTTGGCTATGGTAATATAAGCTAATGAGTTTGAAATATAATTTAAACAAAGGGTAAAATTGAATAACAATATATCCTGGAGGATGTGCTTTCTTTATGTGCATAATTTGTTCTTTTGATTTTTACATTATCATGGGAGGGCGCTCGAGAAAAGTCTTCTTTGCTTCGTCCAGGGAAAAAGGCCACCCCTTGAATAATATGCGACAATAAATAGCCAAGCCCAGGAGCAGAATTCGAGTTAAATACGAACCATTCACCTGAATTACAGCCTTCAAGCCACTGACACTGTGTTTTGTTTTCCCATTTCACACGATATGATGCTCCCCCTGTAGAAACTTTTTCTTTCAACTCTCTTTCTATGTCACGTGCAAAGTTTATGCATAATTTATAAACAGAGAAAGGCAAATGGCCAATTCCGAGTTGCTTCCAGCTTTTCTATTTTCATGCAAATAAAACACATTTTCACAAGAAAGGTTTTGCACTTAGCCTTGTTTTGAAATTGAGAGTTTTTTGCCAAAGAAGGTGAAAAGACTAACAAAACCCAGCAAAAGAAATCCTCGAGCCAATTTTTGTGAAAGCTTCATGGAGGTAACCAGCCGAAATGAACCATGTTGGCAGGCAGCCTTAAACTGAACTGTCAGGCGGAAAATGTTAATTGTCATTCATTAAATCCTCAGGCTAGGCTCCAAAAAAAGCCGACAAACTTTGATCTTAATTCAAGAAGCATATCATTGTCATCTTATCAGCTGTCTTATGACAGATATTTAAAGCAAGTAGCACCATGTAAAAGAACCACACCCATAATATATAGTTTCGTGCACAGACTATTGTAGGGTGCGTAGCTAGCTGACGGGATGTTCGTCGTATGCCTTAATATTTGGCCAGTGTGCGTGAAAGAGTTATATGTACATGTAAATCCGTGTGCGTGAAAGGGTTATATGTAAATCCGTCTGCAAATAAATTTGATTACTCTAGACAGATTTGCGAAAAACATTCCCACTTTCTTGATCCCTTACCGTTGACGTGTACAAGACGATTGCAAAAACAGAAGGAGTCGTTGGAGTCCCACACTTTGTCGGTCACCATGGTGAATAGACGAAAGAAGAGTACATTTCTACTACAGCACTGGATTTAGCTGGAAGTTCTGTCTTATATATTCCGTTAAAGGAGGTTATGATAAGAAGAAACCAAACTCTGGCCGGGTTCTAAAAGGGACGCTTCAAAAGAGTATTTATTTATTTAAATAATATTATTTTTCCTAAATCCTGCACCGGGCAAGAGACGAGAACAAGAAGGGATATTTAAAATAAGCGAAGCTCTGGGAGATCGGCGGCTGTTTATGGAAATTATTTCAGAGACCTCATATAAGACGCTCGACTGTATTTTGCAACTTGATTCCATAATGAACATTGGTAAACTCGACCCTACCCCTCACTCATCGTTTTATCGCAGAACCAGCTGCACTGTATGAAAGCCTTATTTTGTTAGCAGTAATATTGGGTTCAAATAAAGCAGCTCTTTGCCAGCCTTGTATTCAGTTTTGTTTTAATTTGCACTTCAAGTGACGTCTGGCATTAGCAACTCTACATTAGCGATCCGGCAAGAAGGAACCAGTCCTTCTGTCGGTTTTAGTTACGCGTTGAGTGGACCTCTGTATTCAAGGGTTTTAACTGTGCATTTATGAATATCAGGTTACAAAATACTTTCTGTTTTAAAAAGACGATATTTACACAATGTAAACGTCTGGTCGTGATTTCATTCTAGAATAATTAATCGTACTAACTGTTATCACATACCATACTTTTAACACAGACCCTCGTCCCCAATTTGATATGATACCATTATAAACATATGATTAAAGATAACTGCTTGAGGTTCAGTTGGGCCGCGAGCAGTCTCGATCGCCCCCCAACCCTCACACCCTACATGCGGCGACGCCGACAAAATAATCGATAGTGATTTTGTAGCAGACAGCAGCGAAAAGAACTGCGAAATTTATATCGAAATGAAATGCTATTAGACTTTCTTATTATAAAATTATCTTCTTTGACGAACGCTACCTATCCGAGAGGTGGAAACTCACCTTTTAGGAGGCCTCTCTTGAAGCATGTACTCAACTCCCGAATCACCGCTCATACTGTTTATGTTCTGTCTGGCTTATCACGCAACACGAAATTAAAAGATCGAGCGGTTTTAGCTGCAAACAGGTGCAAGATTAATTTCAAGACAGCAAACCCAACCGGCAGCATTGACCTCTAATGGGCTACTTCAAGTTCTTGTGTGACTGTTGTTGAAAAGATGGATTATAGCTTAGAAAAAGCTGTAACCGATTCCCAAGGGAACAACTGTGTAACGTACGAAGCGCTGCTAAAAATGCTTATTCCAAATATATGCAAATATCCCAATGTGTCAATAGCCACTTTAGACAAAAGATAGCCTGCTAGCACGCGTTCTCCTTTCGCGTGCTGCTCTCACGGAGAAGTCTCCCCCAAATGGAGCGCTTACTCGCAAGCTAGACAAAAGACGTTAAACAGACGCTACGCCCAGCATACATACCACTGGCTCTCCCGGATACGACAACAATCTCCCGGTCTCCCGTACGGGTCACCAAATCTCCCGGACTGGATCAAATGGGGTGGGGGGATTGTGAAGGGGGGGGGGGGGGGGG